ACTCTGAAAACTTTTTTTTTTAGACATTTATTTTTTTGACAGTTCCTTACAAAGTAACGTTTATTTCTTCTTTTCGGGATCCTGCTCTGCGGCCTCCTTTGCCCTCTTGGCACGGATGCCGAACAGACGGGCATTGGCACGCGCCATACGCAGACTGGCAAAGGCCTTGAAGTTCTTCTCTTCCTCTGAAATTACGCGGGCCTTCTCTTTCTTGTACACCTGCAGAAAATATGGACACTTCCTCAGATTCAGCAAAACTCTACATGTATACATAAAACATCTACTTTCACACATCTCAAATTGCATCTTATCTCTGTAAAACCCAACATGAAATGTGTAAGAAAATAATCCTTTGAAATAAACCGAGTCTTCAGATTATATATGGCTCATATATGGATATTTATGGCTTACATTTGGTTTCTGCAGGTTAAGTAAATTTAAGACTTTCGATCAAGAAAATTTAAGGAATAAATTAAATGGAATTCTAATATGTTCTGTAAATGTCTTGTTATAGCAAATGTAAAATAGAAATTCCAACAGATCATTCATTTTACAAAAAAAAAAAAAAAGGTTTAAGGTTATGGTTTGAATGGCTCTGCAATATGGAAATAACTTTTACTGTACCTTCCGATCACACGGCAAAAAAATTAAATAAATAAAAAGTGATGTTCTTCCTCACTATATTTTTGCACTGTGTTCCAATGGAAACGTATGATTCTTAAATAGATGCATTTACTTGATGACAAAAGTCTTGTTTAAATGAGGAAGTGAGTTTATGATTAAAACAAGAGCAAATATCTGCCAATATATTTACAAGTTTTCATTCTCTATTGACATTTGTTTGTTTTAATTCAAACTCACAATTTCTCAACAAAAAAAAAACTTCCTATGTTCAATTCGTATCAATTACACGTATCTTAATGTTTAGATGTTTGTATTGGAAAACAAAAATAATGAAGGTTTTTTTTTTTTTTTTTGCAATGCAACATTTAATGCCATGACTTTATAAATTTAAAACTTTCTGCTCTGATTAGAGACCGTTTTAGGACTTGTGTAATTTGTGTTACTAACAATAGAAGTTAGTCTACTCAAATATATTTTCCCACAGCAAAAAAACAAAACGCATGTAGAAAATAGTGTACAACTGGTTTTTCAGCAAAGTTTCATCATGCTGATAATTTAGAGACCTTAAAATTGTGTGTATCAAACATGGTACAGCAGGCTTCATAGTGCTAAAGATAAGATACATACGTTTTTGATGGGCATGACAGGTCCAATAAGCTGTGTAGCCATCTTGAGCTCCTCCTCCTGTACGCACAAAAGACAGTCAAAACACAAAAAAAACTAAATGCAGAATATGGCTGAACAGTATGCAGTCATCAGCTATAAAAGGGTTCAAAGGTCATCAAGGATGTGCAGAGATTCCGGAGAAAGTGTCATCATTTGACTGCAAACACCAAAGCCGTTACCCGTTACAATAAACCGCATTTTAGACCTGACATATTATATATTATGCATCAAAGGCTTGATATGATTTATGATGAATTACAAAGCTTCAAATCAACGCTCATCCCAAGAGAGGTCGGATTTATGATCAGAAGGAAGCCACTTACAGTGCCATCTCCCTTTTTAGGTGCAGAAGCCTTCCTGGGGAAGAGGATGAGTTTGGAGCGGTACTCCTTCAGCCTCTGAACATTGGCCTGCAGAGACTCTGTGGATCTGTTATGCCGACGAGGGTCAACGGCGATGCCGATGGTGCGGGCCACATTTTTGTTGATTCCCGCTGCCTATATAAGCAAATTACAGTGCAAAGTGAGACATGTGACACTCAATTATACTGAAACGGCTCTGACAGCATCAACAGTCATCAGCAAATAGGGTTCAAAAGGAATCATCAATGAGGTACAGAGATTCCGGAGAATTGTCATCATTTGACTGTTTGAATAACTCTAAACGAGACCGAAGAAAACTACATTATAGTTAAAGATAGTTCACCCAAAAATAAAAATTGCCACCGTTTACTGACCCTCAAGTTACTGTTCCAAACCAACAAGACTTTGGTTAATCCTCGAAACAGTAGATTTTTTATGCAACCTGAGAGGTTTCTGTCTCTCCATTGAAAGTCCAGGTAACCAAAACAGGAAGATCCATAAAAGAACAAAGTGTTGTCAAATTAACCCATATGAAACAAGTGGTTTAACCCAAGCCTTGTGAAGAAATACAATGTATGGGTGTTTATGTGAATAAATGTCCAAATTAAATCATATAAAGCAACTGCATCTCTCCATTCGTTTTTATCCACGATTTGCATTACGCCACTTTTATGGCCTTTTTGGACTTAAAGGATTAGTTCACTTCCAGAATGAAAATTTTCTGATAATTTACACACCCCCATGTCATTCAAGATGTTCATGTCTTTCTTCAGTCGCAAAGAAATTAAAGTTTATGAGGAAAAGATTCCAGGATTTGGCCAACGGGCTGAAGGTCCAAATTGCAGTTTCAAAGGGCTCCACACGATCCCACCTGAGGAATAAGGGTCTTATCTTGTGAAACAATCGGTCATGTTCTTAAAATTATATACTTTTGAACCACAAATGCAACACTAATTAAGATATTTTTGATGAATTCTGAGTGCTCTCCCATAGACAGCAGTTCAAGATCATGCCATTCCGGCTGGGAGCCATGATTGTTCACTCCTGGTGAAAAAGAAACGTTACAGCAATGAGTACACAGACACTCCACAGCTCACCCAGCATTAACACACTTTATAGTTTCTCGTATAGTTTTATAACCTTTACAAAGAATAGCGCGCGTGCGAAAGCTGTTAGAACAACTTTGAGTTTATGATAAAGTCTGATAAAGTTGTAAACACTTGGATATTCGCGCAAGCGCTCGGCTGCATGGAAACGCGACAGAATACAGCGTACTAACATAATCTAATTTCATCTCTCAGTAATGTGTAACACCGACAATACAGCCGAGTTCGCACATAAAACAAACTGCACTTTAAAGACGGGCTACTTAAATTATCATATAATGAAGCATTATCAAGGATTACGGCGGATAAACTTGATGAATGCCGGAGTAAATACACATACCGTCTGTGGCGGAAAATGGCTGAAAAGGAAAAGGAAATGACAACGCGGGGTTTTAAGTGAAGGGAAGAAAAGAGCCAATAGGAACGAGCGATGTGCCGGTCTACCGGAAGTGTGAAGCCGAGTTTGTTTTGACAAATCAGCACGTGGATGGACGTACATTTTAAGTTTGACAACTAATAGTTATTTTATTTATTTATTTATTTATTGGCAATAAGTAGTTACTACAGACTACCATGGTGTCGTGAATATAAAGGAGGACGTTTTGATTTTTTAATTTTTTTTTAAAAAACTGCCTACGTAGATATGTGCATGCAAATAAAAGAAAAAAATATGAATATGTTCATTAATGCACTCATGCATTAACATTATCCAAATTAAACATATGACCCCTTTAAAGCAGCACTATGTAACTTTTGGCGCTCTAGAGGTTAATATACAGAACTGCACACATCCCACGGAAGATCATTCCAACCGGAGCTACTTCTCTAGGTTTATGTCTATGGCGATTCACGCAGGTATGTATTACTCCGCAGCGGTGACCAGGCTACAATAGTCCAAATATAAGTACTTATTATAAGTGTACCGTAGTGATTCGGAATAAGACAAAAACGCGGGTTGGAAGATGAATTCATTATGTACTCGCTCATTATATACATTTTGCAAATTTTGTACACAGAAAAAGTTACATAGTGCTGCTGTAAAACAAACCGTGCGTAGTGTACAGTACAAAAACAAAATAAATGCTGCCAATAGTGCAATAATAGTACAATTTGCTTGCAAACAAAACAAATACCTAAAAATTTTAAAAATAAATAAACCCCACTGGTGCTTTTCTTGATAATGTACTGTTCAAACGTTCGGGGTCAGTAAGATTAAAAAGAAATTAATACTTTTATTCAACAAGGATATACTCGATTGATAAAAAAATATTTGTTACAAAAGACTTCAATTTAAAATCAATGCTGTTGTTTTGAACTGTCGATTCATCAAAAAATCCTTAAAAACTGTATCACAATAATAATAATAATAATAAATACATTTATCATAATAATAAAACAGTTATTGAGCACCAAATCAGCATATTAGAAAAAGAGACAGACTGGAATCAGGAATAAATTACATTTGAACATATATTAAAATTAGTGCTGTCAAATGATTAATCGCGATTAATCGCATCCAAATTAGAAGTTTTTGTTTACATAATATATGCATGTGTACTGTGTATATTTATTTTGTATATATAAATACACAAACATATATTTATATATATTTTAAATATTTACACGTATACATATATTTTCATATATCATTTATATTATAAATATTTTATATATAAACAAAAAAAAATCTTAAATATTAAAAAATATACTATATACACAATACACACACACATATTATGTAAACAAAAACTTCTATTTTGGATGCGATTGATCGCTATTAATCATTTGACAGCATTAGCTAAAATAGAAAACAGTTTAATTGTAATAATATTTCACAATATTACTGTATTTTTGATCAAATAAATGCAGCCTTGGTGAACAAAAACAAAGAATCTTACCGACCTCAAATTTTGTAGATGTTTTTTGTTAATATATGATGGAAGCATCTGCTTTAAAGTACTTCAAAAGCAATGCTTCACATTCATGTGTTAAACTGATCATGTATTAAATGCAATAAATTATAAGAACAATACGTTACCGGTGTCATAGGACAGTTCGAATCTGAAAGAGTAAAAGTTGAACACACCAGAACGGTGCAGCAGAACACAGACGCAAACTGGCTCACAATGTTACATTTTTGATTTTATTGCATGTCATGTTACGTCAACATCACATACGTTATATTGACAAATATACTATTTAAGACAATCAGCAGAACCAGCCCTCTCTTTGTTCGAGTCCATGTAAAGCACCTCAAACTATATCCAAAAGACCTTGAAATATTTGGCTTTTGACTGCAAAATACACGAGTCTGTTAAACTAGCACATTACAAAAGATTATTTTGGTGGAAAAGAAAATTACAAAACCAAAATAAATAGATTTCAAAGAACTGTATTAGCACTAATTCTACCACCAGCATTCTAAGGTAGCCATTGTGAATCCTTAAAAGCTCTGAATGATCAATAATAACAAACCAGGAAGGTCTAAACACCTTTATGAATCAAGTGATTTGATGAATTTTTCATAAGCAGCTTCATCCATGAGTTCATCAAGTTCTGCAGGTTTCTCTATGGTCATCTTAATTAACCATCCTTGAAGAGAGAGAGAGAAAGGAATGTTTTAGCGGTATATTACACATTCATATACAGTATTGTGTGATTTCAGTTTAGTAAGAGACTAACAGCTGCACTCACCGTCTTCATAGCAGGCTTTATTTACTAGTCCCGGGTTATCCGTCAGATTTGTGTTGATTTCAGTCACCTCTCCATTCAGTGGAGAATACAACTCACTAGCAGCTTTGACGCTTTCTAAAGCACCGAACTCCTCTGAAAAAGAAATACAGTTCATGTTGTCTGTGCTATAACGGGCAAAAGGCATAAGATGGGGATTTCTAATTCTTCTCACCCATTTGTTCAAGCTTTGTTCCCACTTCTGGTAGCCCACAGTATACCACATCACCTAACGCTTCCTATGGTGATAGAAGGGAGAAAATGTCAATCATCTATTAATAAGGAAGATCATTAACTGCATAAAAAGAAAATACTGCAATAACATGTGTAAAACAATATAACTTTTAAAGTCAACATCCCATTAAAATAAAACCTTCCCCATTTACTTTTTTTGCACGTTATACCAAAGATGAAAAAGACGATAAGTGATAGAATATTGAATATTTCATTTTATTTGGAAACACGTCATATTATTGAAGTAAAATGGGCTGTGACATTTATTTCAAGTTGACTTTAAGGTGCATATCTATGGAAGCTTGTTTCTGCTGAGAGACAGAAAAAAAAAAAAAAAGGTAATTGTTATATTATCTCAGTTTGGACTTTTTTTTTTTTAAAGGGGTCATATGACGTTGCTAAAAAAGAACATTATTTTGTGTATTGAAATGTGTTTATGTGGTTTAAGGTTAAAAAAACACATTATTTTCCACATACTGTACATTACTCTTTCTCCTCTATGCCCCGCCTTTGAAAAAAATCGATGCTTTTCAGAAAGCTCATCGGTCTGAAAAGCGAGGTGTGCTCTGATTGGCCAGCTATCCAGTGCGTTGTGATTGGCCGAATTCTTCAAGCGTGTGACGGAAATGTTACACCCCTTACCATACTGTGGTATGGTTTTGCCACGGAATTGGGCTACTTTAACACTGTTGCCACGGGTTTAAGCGACCCCAATAACGTGATATTTAGCCCCTAAAATGCGCATTTTACCAGGGGAACCCCACCAAAAATGTGTATTTTACCCCACCAGAATGCGATTTTTACCGGGGATACCCCTCGAAACGTGATTGGGCTAGTTTTGGGCTAGTTTTGAGTAGCAATTGGGTGCGTTTTGTTGTGAAAACCTGGCAACCCTGCTGTGATGCCGCGTCCTGGCGCGACGAGACAAAAAACAATAAAACCCATTATAAACGAGGCATTTGTTGCATCCAGTGGGGACAC